TTTTGTTCAAAATTTTTATAAGTTTTTTTTTCGTGGCGAGTAAATTAGTAGCTGGAACTGACTATAAAATCACGCCACCAATACGTTATACATCCTGTATGTATAACGTATTGGTGGCGTGATTGGTGGGGTGATATCCCACGTCACCGATTAGCAATGCCCGCTCATAAGGGTGCCTGCGTTTCCATTGGTCGCAGCGCTAGCAGAGATGACTGCCTGTATACCAATTGTTCCATAAATAAGCATAATAGTGGTTCGCGGTAGTTTAATTCTTGGGTCTAGCTACATATATTCTTACTCCTATGCGCCTGTACTGGTAACACCCCACGTTTATGAATTTAAAGAAGATGCAAGCTGAAGATGCCAATTCCATATCCATTCCATATCCATATTTTGGGAGAAACCTGTGTTGGAGTAAGAATACCCACGTTAACCTCCGATGACCCTGAACTATGGTTCGATCAGCTGCAGAGACTGGTCACGTTGTTCAGCATTAGCACTAATGCCACTAAGTTCTACAATGTCACAGCTGGAACCGCAAAATGCAGCAGTAGAACGAGGCTTAATAGTTTCTCCACCGCCCACGAACAAGTATGATACATTGAAGGCTGAGCTGCTACGAAGACTGCTACCCAGGAACGAAAACTCAAACAGATTTTAATGTATGAGGAGATTGAAGACAAATAAGCCGACGCAATTTTTACGGCATTTTCAGTACCTAGCTGGAGCAAATGTACAATCCGAATTCATCGGTACAATGTGGGCAAATCGACTTCCTACGCAATTGCAGACCTGTATTGCCAAGTAGCAAACGAAGATGTTATAAGAAGATATCTTCAGACCAAGCCGAGCTTGGAGACCCTGTCAATGGCTATTTTCCTGCAACTACGCTAGCCAACAGTCCGGTAATAGTGCAATTGACTAGTTCGTAGTCTGCATCTACGACACACGTAAGTTGAGTCATTGAGGCCTTAATGCGGGCAGTGACAGAGCTCAGCCAAAAGGTGGAAGGTTTGATTGATGATGATGATAATAAGGATGAAATAGTATTAGGTGGAAAAGAGTCTATCATCTCAGTCTAGGAGTCAGCCTGCGTATGAAACACCCTTTTCCCAATTTCTAACTCCAAGCAGCCGTGATTTCCTACTAAATTACAGGCATTTTATCTTCGTTCAAAAATGTGACAATGCATATCGATGGTGGAAAGGCAAAATGACCAAGCGACCTAAAGGCAACCTTACAGAAGAGCTGATTAAAGTTTGAAATTTTGAAAAAAAGTCATATTAATTGTTGTAATAATACTAGTTTTTACGGAATTTATTGCGTATATTTAAATTTTTAAATACCCGACGTTTCGATCGCTTTACAGCACTCATGATCACAGGCAGGACTGAGATGTTCAACGTCCATATGTCAAAGTTAACCGCGGTTACCATAGATTTAAATTTAACTTTTGTTCCGATCTATGCAGTATGAACTTATGGTATCTTGAAGTCTTGCAGATGTATGCTTGGGTTGGGATTTAATTTTATTTATTATAGGATCCCAAGCAGATGGTAGCACCTAGCCAACTTCTCTATTGAAATTAGGATGTTTTTTGATTTCAATAGCCTCGCGAATCATCCTTGGAAGGAATCGGTGTTCTTTAGCGAGGATCTGCGGTCTATCAAATCTGATGTAGTGACGGGGGCGATCCTGTACGTGTTCACAGACTGCAGACTTCCCGAAGCGTCGATTCTTCACATCAGCTATATGTTCTTTAACGCGGGTTTTTATTGATCTTTTAGTTTGTCCTATGTAGGAGAGACCACATTCACAATTAAGCTTGTACACTCCTGCATCTTGCAGAGGGACATTACACTTACATACGGACGTAAAATGGATAATACCTACGTACGCCAAATCACCAAAATTGTATGGGTTACCAAAAATACACAAGCCCAATGCTCCATTACGTCCCATAGTGAGCCAAATCGTTTTATCTTTGTTCAAAAATGTGACAATGCATATTACATTAACTATAATTACATGCATTTACACTAACTAAAATTACATGCATAGACATTACACTTACATCATCATCATCATCATCATCATTACAGCCCTTCACAAGTCCACTGCTGAACATAGGCCTCCCCCAAGTAATGCCACAAAGCACGGTCCTTAGCCACCTGCATCCATCGACTTCCTGCATGTCTTACCAGGTCGTCACTCCATCTAGTGGGGGGTCGCCCTACACTACGCCTACCGGTACGAGGCTGCCACTCGAGAACCTTTCTTCCCCATCGGTTATCGGTTCTTCGAGCTATATGGCCGGCCCATTGCCACTTCAGCTTACTAATCCGTTGGGCTATGTCGATCACTCTGATTTTACTGCGGATATCCTCATTTCTGAGTCTATCACGCAGAGAAACTCCAATCATAGCCCTCTCCATAGCTCGCTGAGCGACCTTAAGCGTCCTCATACGGCCAGCAGTGAAGGACCACGTCCCCTGAGTGGTGAGAGTATTTTCGCTAAGTGTTGAACCAATCTGTAAGTTGGTGAATCGATTTGGCTCACTATGGGACGTAATGGAGCATTGGGCTTGTGTATTTTTGGTAACCCATACAATTTTGGTGATTTGGCGTACGTAGGTATTATCCATTTTACGTCCGTATGTAAGTGTAATGTCCCTCTGCAAGATGCAGGAGTGTACAAGCTTGATTGTGAATGTGGTCTCTCCTACATAGGACAAACTAAAAGATCAATAAAAACCCGCGTTAAAGAACATATAGCTGATGCGAAGAATCGACGCTTCGGGAAGTCTGCAGTCTGTGAACACGTACAGGATCGTCCCCGTCACTACATCAGATTTGATAGACCGCAGATCCTCACTAAAGAACACCGATTCCTTCCAAGGATGATTCGCGAGGCTATTGAAATCAAAAAATATCCTAATTTCAATAGAGAAGTTGGCTAGGTGCTACCATCTGCTTGGGATCCTATAATAAATAAAATTAAATCCCAACCCAAGCATACATCTGCAAGACTTCAAGATACCATAAGTTCATACTGCATAGATCGGAACAAAAGTTAAATTTTAATCTATGGTAACCGCGGTTAACTATGACATATGGACGTTGAACATCTCAGTCCTGCCCGTGACCATGAGTGCTGTAAAGCGTTCGAAACGTCGGGTATTTAAGAAATTTAAATATACGCGATAAATTCCGTAAAAACTAGTATTATTTCAATGTGTAGTGTTCGCGTAAATATAAAAAATCATCATATTAATTGTACTGTTTATCATATTAGAGTAAATTTTACATGACTAAAAAGCTGTTTGGACTCTTCATTACCTAGTAAAAATAAATTCCCGTTTTGCTTACCGTTTCCGAAGTAAGTGGCGCTTAGTAAAAAAAAATCACCAACGGGAAAAATCGACCTACCGACAATCGACCGTTGATGTAAGAACTGAAAAAGACTGACATTTTTGAAGAACTTGAGAATGGATAAAATATCTACATAATAAAAAGAACATTTCTATGACGAGGCAAAAGTTACTTATCACTTCCTGATTGATTAATTTCTGTCTGGAATATTTTTACCAGAGGACAAATTTAAATAATATCTTTCACCCAATAATTGAATTGAATGAGGATTTTAGATTTAACAAAGAAAAACACAATATTTTTTTGTTAAACATCAACATTTCTTGACCTGAGACGCATAAGGTCGGATTTAAAAATCGAAACAAATTAACTTTAATAGTCAGCTGAAACCAGTATCCCGCGTTATTTCTAAGCATATAATAATCATCGTTCTATCTGTTTTCGTTCTGATAGATTTACAAATTCATAAGGTCGGATCTGTCGAGTTTTTGAATTTATATTGTGCATTAGGGCTTGATAAGAACTACAGTATTTATGCTTAAAATGTTGGTATAACTAGAAGGTCGAACATTGACTTCGGTTTTTATGCTTTTAAATTATTTTAAGCTTAAGGCAGAGTCTATTTGGTCATTCGACTTTATACAACAACGATTGTTGGTAAAAATAATACGTATTTTCAGATAGAACTTTATGTCTTTTGAAATTAAATAATCATTTATGTCGTAACTTGAGATAGACCGCTATGCATCAAAATTTTTATTTGTTCGTTTAAGGTCTACAAACAAAATAAAACCTTATGTTTTTAAAAAGTGCTACTTTATCGTCGTACAGAAATGCACATGTGAAAAAATATTATTCCATTGTTTTTGTGACGGCACACCGATGCGATACTACAACATCGGACATTATCGCCGGTCACTCGGTCGTTTTCGGCGCCAAGGTGGTTTAACCTATCAGCGCATCGCATCTAGCGCGTGTCGCATGCGTTTGTTTTGTTTATATGAATATAATTTATTATTAATGCGTGAGTCGTAACGAAAGAATAGTGAACTTAATTGATTCTGATTCAATTAATAATTAATTGAAAGTGAACTAGTAGTTATTGTAAATTCGATTAGAAACAAAAAAAAATTTTTAAATCAGTTAAAATTTAATTTGATATTGAAAATTGTTGATTTTACATACGTACAAAAATATTATTTTGCAATTCCGAGCCAAGAAATGTCCGATTATGATAGTGATGATAGTGATTAAAGACAAGACTTATGAACCACATAAAGATATATCGGATGACAGCTACGTCACTGATTCGCCAGAAAAAGTATTTGTAATAGCCAGGTCTCTAAAATTGAAAAAGGAAGCTTTCTTTTTCAGAAGAATCGCCTCAACGACAAAGTAAAATAGCAAATAATGAAGACAACAATTTCATTACTTTAGATAATCCTCTAGTTCCAAGAAAAGAACGTATGTCTGCAACTGTTGTTTTTTGTGAAAGTTCTTAAGAACATGACCGTTTTTCTGCTGCCATCACTAGGCAATAAATTATTATTGTTTATTATTCAATAGATAACCTTAATAAGTCTTCGTTATTTTATCAATGTAGTCCGAAATTAGCGAATTCCAATAATATGATTATAGTTCAAGAACGGGTGAGTACATCTGCTAATAATAATAATTACCTTAGAAACTGTAATTTAACAGACAGGGATCCTACAACAGGCTTTTTAACTTTACCAATTTTTGATGAAAGTATTATTTCTGATGATACTATGAATGAAAATATAATTAACTCTAACGGAGTTATGGTTGCAGATATGAATGTGAATATAGATATACCAGTTGACAGAGAGATAATAAATAATGAAGATATACAGCAGATCGGTACAGTAGCCCTTTCAAAATCTAGCACAAGAAAGGAAGTTAAGAATGTGACTAAATGGAAAAGAGTTGCCACTAAAATTGCAAGGCTGAAAGGTTCTCCCTATCACTCAACTGTAGCTAAAAAAAGAACTGAAATAGACGGTCGTGAGTTGAAACCCCCATATATGTGTAAATTTAAATGTTATGATAAAGTGCCTAATGAAACAAGAATGCAAATATTTAATGAATTTTGTAAAAAATGTACCACTTGGGATTAACATTGCCAGTCTCGTAACGTCAAAAAAAAAACTAAAACGCACGATGAGCACAGATGGGAACTTACACACTGACCGAAGAAAATTTTCTTACGAATATGGACTGATTTTCGATTATAAGAGTGAAAAAATATGCCGGAATATGTTTCTTAATACGCTTTCTATAGGAGAAAAAATTATTAAAGTGAGTTTGGTGAAACAACTTGATGGAGGCCTGGTAGCTCCAGATCAGAGGGGAAAGCATATTCCTGGTAATAAATCATCAGATATGGTAGTCAAATCAGTGATAGATCACATTAACTTGTATCCATGTTATGGGAATCATTATTCACGACAAAAGAGCGGACGAAAATTTTTAGGACCGGACTTGAATATCCCTGCTATGTATTAACAGTATAAAGAAATGATGGAAACTAAAGAGATCCCTCCTAATTTGGTGGCCAAAGAATGGCTGTACCGAAACATTTTTAACACTAAGTTCAATTTAAGTTTCAAACTACCGTCAGTCGATACTTGTAATGATTGCGATGCATTTGAGAGAAAGCTATTAGATGTTGTGGGTAAAGAACTGAAAAGAAATATAGTAAAAGAAAAGGAAATTCACGTCAAGGCTGCTGAAGAAAGATATTACTTGAAGAGTATTGATAAAAAAGAAGCAGAAGCAAGTTTGGGTGAAATAAGGGACTGATGTTTTATTTTCGGAAGTGTTTGGCCACGCCAAATGTAACTAATAGTAAATGTTTTTATCTACAAAAGCTTTGGACACTAAAGTTGACAATGTTTGATTTAACAGCTAATATCGCTGCAAACATTTGATGATTCTGAAAATATAGGTGACAGAGGAGGAAACGAATTAGCTTCCTGTCTGATTCGATGGGTATGAAGAAAATAGCGAAAAAATTACTAACCTAAGAGAATTAACTCTGTGGTCCAATAACTGTGCAGGCCAAAACCGAAATTTGATGATCGTGATGGTTTACATGTGGATATTGCACAAACAACCTCAGCTGAAAATAATAACCCACAAATTTATGCTGAAGGGTCATACACACATGGAAGTCGATCAAATACACTCACAAATCGAAAAAAGGAAAAAAAATTGAAAACAGTGCAGATTGCTATACCCCGAGACTGGTCTCAATTTATTCGAACTTGTGGAGGAAGGAGAACTTTTAACGTCTATGACATGCAACTTCATAATTTTAAAGATGTTACATGTTTGTATAAGAAAAATGGTCGTTTTGTTTCCAGAAAAAAGAATAAAGATGGTAAGGATTTTAGAATATCAGAATGTGTTTGGCTTCAAGTTAAACAAGACCAGCCCGGAATATCATTGTATAAAAATACATTCGAAATTTCATCCGAAATGCTTCTAAGCGGATTCAGTTCTCACAAAATTTACCTAGTGTAAGTCAAAGTGAAAAACCCATATCTACTGCAAAACTCAATGATTTGTTGAGTCTTTTACAATGGATTCCACAATAATTCCGTACATATTACAAAAATTTAAAACATTTGCAGAGTGAGGGGAGTTAATATTTTTTACTGAGAAGAATATATTTTTATGTATAAGTTTAGATTATTTTTATAATTAAATTTTGTTAATTCCGACTTTATGTTCTTCATATATAATTTAAATGCTACGTATATAGATGTGAAAACAAGATTGGACTTAATTAAAGTTCCATTTTTTGACAAACATAATGTTACATGTTGTAAAAAAGCTTATAATACACATTCAATTTACCAAAAAATTGCAGGCATAAAGTTGGATCAATACGTTGAATTAAAATGATCCGTCTTTTTATAACTCTTTACGAGTATAAAGTTGGATGTCACCAAAAACCTAGTTTTTGTTTAATAAAATATTATTACTATTCTGTGACTAGTTTAATTACTATACTCATACAAAGTTCGAAGACTTGCCCTTAACATTTTATTATTTTTGATAGCTTTATCGAAAATAAACAATAGATTTGACACGATTTCATCAAAAAATTTCTTTTGGCTCTCCTCTAAACTTGTTAAATTCCATATGCAACCTAATGCGTCTCAGGTCGAGATTTTACTGTACGCTCTGACAGCGCGCGACATGTTACACTCCCGTTCGCTCGGGACCTTAATGGGGGGAAAATTTGTAAGTTAGAAAATTTTTTGCTATATTGCAAATTTTGCTATATTTTCACTTTGACACAATATTTATGGATAAAACTTAGAGGATTTCTTGTTGAATGTATAAACTATCGAATAAAATTATGTTTGGTTGCTAGAAATTGTAATAAAATACACAAATTACCCTGTATACCATAGTAGTAGTATATACTTCAATTTTAGTGACAAAATTACTACTAATTTGAATTCTACACTTTTGTTTTTGGAGAAATTTATATGAAAATGTTTGTAAATATGTATATTTTTATGTTTTATGTGTTTCTATTCGTTACTCATACCAAAATATTAAAATATTAAAAATTTGAAAAAAAAAACAATAATATTTTATCTGTATGATATTCCGAACTATATTTCAAAATAGTTTTGTGTGAATTTGAAAAAAATACAAAGTCAAGTTATTTAAAATATGTAAGAAAACTATTTTTACTTACATTTTACTCTAAAAAAAAAATGAGAATTTGAAAAATAACACATTTATGACCCAACCGCAAAAATGGGCCTTCCGGATTTTGAAGTACTCTTGGCAATTTACTTTTCACTTTTTTATACCACAAATTATATATCTGCGTGTTCACTATATTACAAGGAATATAAAAAAGTATAATACTTTCGTTTTTAGTCCAGACACAAATATAAAATTCTATAAAAAAGACGGAGCACCTTCATCAAAGCGACACGTGGAACGCCGAAAGTTCAGAGTGATTTCTTTTTTTTTTCTAAGAAACATTGCCAGATTATGGTTTAAAAAAAAAGAGCATATCATTGTCTTTGATACTATTAACTATTGCATAGTGTCTTTGGTTTTGTTTAAAACGAAAAAAATAGTTTTTTCATAGGTACACAATTTTAAATAATTCTGATCTAATTAGTGCTCTTCTGGAGCGAACGTCAAGTAGGTATTGTACGATCTAAAGTGCGCATCGCTTGGCGAACAGGTTTTATTGACTTTCGTGATTCAAAATCAAATTTACTTAAAAAAAAACAGCCTTCTAGCGTAAAACTAAAAACACAAATAGTAAATATCGTCAGAGATCTTCGTTTTTATAAGAATGAAAAAGAATTCACAAGTACATTATAACACTAATCACTTAGAATTATTTAACAAACTATAAAGTGTTTTAACTTCCCGCTAATAAAATTCAAAATATTCAAAAATAGGGAAGTTATTGGTTTCACGCTTCATCATTATCATCATCATTACAGCCCTTCACAAGTCCACTGCTGAACATGGGCCTCCCCCAAGTAACGCCAAAAAGCACGGTCCTGAGCCACCTGCATCCATCGACTTCCTGCATGTCTTACCAGGTCATCACTCCATCTAGTGGGGGGTCGCCCTACACTACACTTAACCGGTACGAGGCTGCCACTCGAGAACCTTTCTTCCCCATCGGTTATCGGTTCTTCGAGCTATATGGCCGGCCCACTGCCACTTCAGCTTACTAATCCGTTGGGCTATGTTGGTCACTCTGGTTTAACTGCGGATATCCTCATTTCTAAGTCTATGTAGCTCGCTGAGCGACCTTGAGCGTCCTCATATGGTCAGCAGAGAAGGACCACGACTCGGTTCCGTAGGTCATCACTGGCAACACGCACTGGTTGTACACTTCAGTTTTCAGGTCTTGAGGTATACCTGACGAGAAGATGTGTCGTAACTTCCCGAACGCTGCCCAGCCGAGTTGAATCCGTCGATTGACCTCTCGGTCGAAGTTGGACTTACCTGGTCGGACTATTTGTCCCAGGTAAACGTACTCGTCAACAACTTCGAGCATAGTGCTCCCAACAACTACCGGCATTGGTGTGACATGGACATTAAACATGATCTTTGTTTTGTCCATGTTCATCTTAAGACCTACCCGTTGGGAGACACCATTGAGGTCATTGAGCATAGTGCTAAGGTTTCACGCCTATTTTCAAAAATAGAGTTTTCACCATATCTCGACGTTTTGAGATCGCAGGAAGCTATTCTGACTAATTTCACGTGAATATCAATACGGATGTATGTGCGTGTGCGCGCGCGCGCGTGTGTGTGTGTGCGTGTGTGCGCGCGCGTGTGTGTATGTGTGTGTGTGTGTACGTGCGTGGGTGTGTGTGTGTGTGTGTGTGTGTGTGTGTGTGTGTGTGTGTGTGTGTATGTGTGTCTGTGTGTACGTGCGTGTGTGCTTGCGTGTGTGTGTGTGTGTGTGTGTGTGTGTGCGTGTAAGTTTAAGTGTAAGTATGTTAACCTAAACTTTTTAAAGTCTTGATCGATTGAGATGCTGTTTGCGGCGTTCTAAAGATCTCGGGCCAGGGACCAGGCGCATGCACTGCATGGGATTTTCGTGGGGATCGAAGTGTTAAATTCTTAAAATAGAACCGTCATAATAGTATAATTAGCTCCTCACATAGTCATATTCGTTCCTTATAAAATATATAGTACACTTACTCTGAATCCGCTTCATACCTTTTATTAAATACACGAAGTGGCATGGTATACTGGTAAATGGTATACAGTTCACGAAACGTTAAAGATTCGATTATGCTGTTTGGGATTTATCATGCAGTGGTAGTGTTAGTATGTCCACTAACCTATACCGTCCCGTGGGTATCATAAAAGGTAATAGAAGGAAACTCAAACAGGAGATGGGCAGCATAATACTTATGACAACTTAAAATAAAATAAAAACTGCGGTTGCCCACGGATCTGTTAAGCGTGACAACGATGGCCCGCCCTAAAAGGTAATGGATGGATGAATGGACTAGACTGGTTGGGCAGTGTATTGTAGTTGTTATTCCATTACTGTTTTCCATCACTCACGTGCGATGTTTTTTTTTTGTTTTGATTCCTAATATTTTCTGCGCTTGGTTATCTGTAATGTAAACTTACTGTACTTTATGAATGTAAAAGAACCAGAGGAATAAAAAGAATATTTGACCATATACACTTGAAGACTGTAATAAACTTCGTATGCTTGTGTAAAAGTACACGTCTCAACTTAATTATGAAATGTAATTTGAATTTCAAATTTATTGAGGAAGCCAGTCAGGAAAATAAACATTTACTTTAATTACTTTAAGAACTTCGTAGCTGTTATTGTAGTCTGCTATGCTAATTTTCTTCCTAAATATATTTTTACTATCAAATAGCAATTAAATAAGATTCTCATCGCAATTTAAGTCTAATATTTCTATTTAAGCTCACTTACTGAACTTTGTGATATTTTAAGATATTTTATGTTTTGCATTATGCATAATATTGTGTAAAAATTTTAATACGCAGCTTCCATGGTCGCAATAATTTATCTCTAAATTTGATTTCGTGTATTTGCTTTGATACAAATTAATATTTTATGTCGTAGTAAGTTAATTGATTAAGACCACAGAAATAGTTATAAATTATTACAATTTCTGTCATTAGGACCTTATAAAACAGCTTCACTAATATAGTTTTAGCCCAAAGGATATTATACACTTTGTCACCAAATGCATTAATATCACGCAACGCTTGAAATTCGAAACTGAGCTGCGTCCAACGAAAAA